AGACAGTAGTATTTGTTACATCAAGTAATTTTTTATGTTCAAGACTTTCTTTGGAATGGTTTGAGAACTGATTTGTTATTTTCTTGCCTGTTTTGCATAATTAGGCTGTCAGTTTTTTGTTCACAATATGTAACTTGTGTGACTTTATGGAAACAAGAAAGCTAACTCCTCCTATACCAGTAAAGAAACTGACTTTAGAATTCTTTCCATCAATGCTGTTGGTTTGTGTTTAAAGAAACAACCAAAGTGAAACTTCCCAAGTTCAGTTTATCTAAAATACATCTACATGTAGGACTGCATAGTCTACGTGGTGATAAAGTTATTGAAGGCAATATTGTTGCCATGTTTTGTAATGAGATTCATGTACTCTGTAACTTTATTTATCATATCAATCTCATTTGACATTTTATGATTTTAGTGTGGGAATGTTGATTTTGAGGAGACCAAATAATATTTCTGAAGTCCCTGAAAGAGAGGACAAGACCTTCTATGTATTTCCATGGAAACTACTGGAGATGCAAAGAGCACAGAGATGCAAAGCTTTCTGATAGAGCAGATTCTCAGCTGCTGATCGCTATTATACAACACACTCACCACCAGTATCTATGCATTTTCACCAGCAGTGAACAGGAGCCTGCATGCTGTGCTTGTAGAAATCTGCAGCAGTGGAGGTGACCCACTGTTGCCTTTGCCAATGCTGAAGTGCACCACCTCTGCCTCATTGTTTTCACATCCATAGGTTTATCTTCCTAAATGTTTAGTAAGCGCTGATGTGCGTCAGTGGGTGCAATTTTTTCTGCATGGAATAATTAATTAATTGACACTCCTTTTACTTCATACACACTTCCATATCAGACACCATTCTGTCAAATTGCCCCTCTGCTGCCATTTGTCATACAGCAACAAAATGTAACAGAATATTGGTGGGAATGTTCAGCCTTTATTGCCATGCCACCCTATCTGCCTCTGATGTTGTAGGCCAATGTCATGAAATAGGAGGCATTATTTTTAGAGCAGCCCTCATAGACTAAGAGACTGTAGTAAGGCGTGCTGGGAAGACAGTCCTCTCTCAAAGGAATTGAAGAAATTATTACAGTTGTTACAATTTGGAAGTAATGAAGAAGGGTTTCCAATCAAAAAATAACTGGAAACAGTCTGAACATGATGCAAAGAGCAAAATTTAGTAAAAGCGTAATTTTTTATTTTTTATTTTTTTGGAAGTGGTGAAAGGTGCAGTCCGGTATGCATACGGTGTTTTTTCCTTCACTTCATTTGGAATGAAGTACAAAGTTTGAAAATACAAAGTTCTGGAAAGCAACAAAATGTTTGATGAGTGCCATCAGATTTCTTCCTGTCTGTTGCGTTCTTGTCCCTCCCCGTCTGCAAATGATTTGTGAAAATTGTACAAGGGCAAAACAGAAATAGTGGAGATCATATGCAATTAAGGTAAAAATACAGATTCCATCAGAAGTGAACCAATACAGCAGCTTACCAAAAGGAATGATAAGCAAAAAATACGTGTAAGAGATGAAGAAATATTATTGTGGAATTGATAGACATATTTTGATTAAAAAGAAGCATAGTAGGCTGAGGTTCAGGGTGAAGACTTCTGTGCCCATGGGAGATTCATTCAGCAAAGAGTAGTTTCAGTAGTTCAGTCACAGAATCGTAGAATGTCCTGAGTTGGAAGGGATTCATAAGGATCATCAAAACCAACTTCAAGCTCCATACAGGACCACCTGAAGTTCAAACCGTGTTTCTGAGAGCAGCACCATGCTGCTCCCACTTGCTGTCCCAGAGAGCAGAGCTCAGCGCTGCCCCTCTGCTCCCTGTGAGGAGCTGCAGCCTGCCGTGAGGCCTCCCCTCAGCTCCTCTGCTCTGAGCTGAACAAACTCAGGGACCTCTGCCGATCCTTGCATGCCTTGCCCTCTAGACCCTTCACCATGTTTGCATCTCTCCTGTGGAAGCTATCTGATAGTTGTACGTACTTCCCATGTTGTGGTGCCCAAAACTGCATGCAGTGCTTGATGTGAGACAGCAACGGTGCAGAGCAGAGAAGGGCAATTGCTCCCTTTGCCGGATGGCAGTGCTGGGTTTCATGCATCCCGTGGCACAGTTGGCCCTTATGCTGCCACTGCACATTGCTGACTCATACTTGTCTTGGCAATGATTGCAACTCCCAGATTTCTTTCTGCAAGGCTGGTCTCCAGCCTCTCATCCGCCAGTCTCATCTTCTAGTCTGTTCATATGTTGAAGGTTTCCCTGTCCCAGAATTCTGTTCCCAGGCTCAGAATCTGGCACTTGTTAAATTGCCCAGCCCTCTTCAAGATCTCTTTGCAATACTTGTCCACCCTTGAGGGAGGCAGCAATTTCTCTTGATTTAGTATCATCTGCAAGCTTTCTTAGAATGCATTTGAATCTTTTGTCCAGATAATTTATAAAAGCTTTAAAGAAAACTGACCCTTAAGATGAACCCTGAGAACTCCTCTAGTGATTGGTTGCCAGTCTGATGTAACTTCGTTTACTAAAACCCTTTGAGCTTGACCTGTCAGCCAGTTGTTCAGCCAACGCATCATGTTTTTTGTCTGGCTATATGCTGGATATTATGCCCAGGATAGTGTCAGAGACAGTAGTAAAACTTATTATAAAAGTAAAATAAATTCATTAAGTAGCTCTTATGCCTCATGAACTCTTGTTGGCTATGATCAGTGAATGTGCTGTATTTCAAGTATTTTCTCCAAAATTTTAATTGACACTGACGTGAGACTGTCAGACCTGTTTTTAACAGGATCTTCTTTGAAAACTGAAACGATGTTTGCCAGCATCCAGTTGAGTGGGGCCTCTCCAGATTCCTGAGACTGTTGAAAAATAACTGAAAAATCTGTCATGACATCAGCAGGCACTTGGAGTGTCCTGGAACGTACTGCATTGGGCCCATAGACGTACATTCATCCAGATGGAGTGGCAGATCCTACACAAGCTTGGGGTTGATGGGAGTTTATTATTCCCACAGCTATGGGATCAAAGGATATCAGATTCAAAGCAGATAAGAGATAGAGAAGCCATAAGCTACAAATCTTCTCAACAAATTTTGTGTTCTTTTTGCTTTCTTTACCTAGATTGATGAAATCCATTTACTGTGAGTACATAGTGAAAACATTTAAAATAATGGTAGTATTAGATTCATAGGAGAAATATGGTCAAAAATGAGTTTAGGGAAAAAGAGTCAGCAAAATTGAAGCCAGTTCTGGAAAAATGCAAGTAAGAGAAATAATATAATTGATAATTTTTAAATTTTTCTTTAGGTTAATAAGACCGTTAACAACAACAGCAACAAAAGCTATGCAGAAGACTAGAAGAGTGATGCCTGCATTTTAGTTATCTCCTCCTTATTTTCAGCTGTTTTCTTGTCGCTGTTGTTTTACAGCTATATTATCTGCAGTAAAGAACTGCTGCTGAATATTGACTTGATGACAGTTTTTTTGGCAGACATTTTGTCTTTGTCCTTCTACCTTCATTACTGGTGATTCTTTATTGAATTCATGTTAGTTCTCATGAGAGAAGAGGGAATATAAAAGGGAATAAAATTCACTTTCATTATGTATATATATTTGGAAATGTTAGGACTGCTTGTATACAATATTTTAAATCCATTTTTATTCAGTACTGATAAAAGTGCTATCAACTTCATAATGCTTTTGTAGCAACTCGTGACAATTTAACATACCAGAAGACCTGTAAAGCTACTGATTTTTTGTAAAGTGGATGAAGGCAGTAATAGGCTGAAAGAACATGATAATTCAGCTTAATACACTTCACAGCATATTTTTGTTTTTGGAATTTTCTTCTGAAATAAACTTTTTTTCCTTAAATATACCCCTTTGACAAGTTTGAGTTAGCTTTGCTGATTCTGTCCCCCCAACTTATTGTGCACCCCAGCCTTCTTAGCTGAAAAGTCTTCAACTGTATGTAAGCACTGCTGTGTAGTAACTAAAAAATCAGTGCTATCAATATTATTCTCCTAAAACTAAAGCATAGCATAGCACTATGCCAGCTTTCCAGAAAGGAAAATTAGCTCCATACCAGTTGAAATGAGGATAATGACGTCTACTTTTCTCAGAATTCCTTTTTCTGCATCTTTCTCAAGAGCAAATGACTACATTTTCAGATTACACCTATTGGATAATTTCTTTCTCTTCAGAGTTCAATCTGATTTTATTCATCTTCTCTAGAGGCTTTGAACTTCTTAAAGCCAACTTTAGAATTTTAAAATTAAGGTCTTTCCCAGGCACACTGTGAATGAATGAACTTCTGCAACAGGCATGTCCAACCCATGGCTCCGGACAGCTAGTGATTAGCCTCACACCCTGCCATCATGGCAGCAGCTCTTTCCTATTTGCCCAGGCAAAGTAAAAGGTTGTCACCCATGTTCTACAACATCCACAACATTTGGAAGAGTTGAGACAGTTTTTAATGTTACGAACAAGGATATGAATACAATTTTTAGTTGAAGAGCTACTGAAATACTTTCTTTAAAGTAGTCAGCTTGTGATGTCAAAGTGCTTTTTTGTGTGCTTGTCCTGATGCATAATTTCTTTAGACTTCTGCATTTGTATTCACTCTCAGACTTTCTTTAGCATTGTTTGGTCTCGCTATTAGTGAACATGACAAATTCAGTATTGTTTCTTTCCCTTTCAGGAAAAGAATATGTCAAATTGCTTGCTTTCATAGAATCACAGACTAGTTGAGATTGACAGGGACCTTGAGAGAGTCTGTCTGGTCCAGCCCCTGCTTAAACAGGGAAATCCAGAGCAGGGTGCCCAGAACCATGCCCAGGTGTCTATTGGACCTGAAAGGAGGGTGACTCCACAGCCTTTCTGGACAATATGTGCCAGTGCTCCATCACCTGCACATTAAAGAAGTGTTTCCTGATGTTCAAACAGAACTTGATTTGTTACAGTTTCTGCTCTCTACCTCTTGTTCTGATTTTTTTCTTTAAGAACTGCCTGAAACTGCATTTACTGAAGAGGAAGTTCAAGAGACAGAGACATGGGCTAGGCCTCTTGTCCACCTTTGGCAGACAAGAACACCTAATTTCAATGCTGAAAAAGAATACAATGCATGTTGTGCAAAAAAGGAGCCCTACTGTGCAATTTGCACTCTTCTCATGCCATACTACAAGGTAAGCGAGATCCTTAGAGTTTCATTTCTGAGAGGAGAATGAAATAGCTGCCCAGCTTCAGCATTTCCCGAAAATTGCTATTACATTAGAAAGAAGTTAAAGTTACTGATTTTGGCTGTATGGGGAGTAAATAAACTCAATATTGTTAAAACTAGAGATGATGCTTGATCCACCTGCATTTATCTTTTGTTACAGACAGTGTATGCCTTCTGCTTGCGATTTATTTAGGATTGGTGTTAGTGCATATGTGCTTACATACAGGTTGCATTTTTGCATACATAATACATACATACACATACAGAAAGTTGCATTTTTGAAGGTGATTAATCCACACAGGTTTATATCTTTTAGTTACTTCCTTATATGTCCATTGTCAAATGCCTTTCATCAAAACTGCTTCCACAGCTCCTTCCTACAGTGCTGAAAAAGCATCATCTCACAGTACTTGGGCCTTCTCAAGAACAGTATTTCCATAGAAACCTTCTTATCCAGGATACAATTTGATATTGGCTTATGGAATTTGTGTCAAACATCAGCTAAAAACGCTGATACAGTACTAATTCAGCAGCTACTGAACAGGAAACCCCTTTGTCTGGGACTTGGAAAAAAGACCTTTTGCACTGGATCCAGCTAAAGGGCTTAGTGGGAGTCAATTGTACTGTATCATTGAACGCTGTTGCAATAATGCTAATTTTCAGACTGAGTGCTTTTTTATTATTTGAATAGTCAAGGAACTATAGAATGATTGTGATAGATAACCCGCAGTAGTTAGTTTTCTTATAAACTGTTACATTATTAATGGAGGAGCAGGGTGTGGAGAAGGCATTTGACCATAATTAAAAAAGCAGAAAAAAGGACTCTTCTCTTTTTACTTAAATGTGATTTTATTTTATTTCCAGCCAGAAAATCTTGATGAAGAAAATTCTACTTACAAGGAAGCAAACTTAGAAGAAAAACTAGTGATTGAAAATGAGAAGTCTAGACCTCTTATTCCAGAGATGTGTTTTATTTATAGCGAAGAAAACACTGAAAACTCTCCATCAAATGCCTTAATTGATGAGGATGGAACAAGTCTTCTTATTTCCTGTGCGAAGTGTTGTGTACGAGTACATGCAAGTAAATACATTACTATTTCAGTTGGTAGCAGTGCCATTTCAAATTTTGTTTTATCGATAAGTAATAGTTAAGTAAGCTTCTGCTATGTCTAAGTAAGCACTTGAAAAACATTTTCCATAATTAATGCTTGAAATCACTGGCTGCATTTTTTTTACCCTACGTTAAGTGTTCTGTTATTTGTTTCTGGTTGCTCTGAAACTAAAGAAGAGTTAGTTTTGCAGTTTTCATTTAACTGTGGGCAGCAGAGACTTCTGATTTTTTGTTCAACACTAAGCCTTTAAGTTTACTCCTTATATTTTAAACCCATCTGTGATAGCGTTTCCTTAACAGGTTGTAAAGGTGAAATCCTTTTAAAATTGAGGATCTGTGAATATCTCCATTAACTATATCTCTATTAATTATTTAATACAGCAATTTCCTCCACTTTACATCCTTAATTTCAAGTGACTGATTAATGCATGATTTTTCTGTAGTATCTTCTACATATAGTAGGACTTGAATGCTTACATCTAAGAAGTCCTTAAATGGAGATGCAGTGTAATTGCGTAGAATGTCAGTACATTGATTCAGATTGTACCTTGTTATTGCAGGGAGAACTGATGATTTGCTACTGAAGTTACAGAAAATAAAAAAATACCCTGCTGTGGCTCTTCTTTTTTTAAAAGTTTGGAAGTCTGGGGAGGCTACATTCACACACACACACATACACACAAACTGTAGAACAGCAATAATCCTAACAGTGGAAAACTTTCCTTGATCACAGTCTATGATTTACTGGTGTTTGTACATAGCTGAATTGTATGACATCATGATTAGACATACAGAATATATTAATCAAATCAGCTCTCTCATTCTAGGTTGCTATGGTGTTCCTTCTCATGAAATCCATAATGAATGGTTGTGTTCTCGATGCAGAACAGAAGCATGGACAGCTGTAAGTTTTACGTGTTGTTTGGTTATCTAACGCGTTACAGATTAAGTATAGAATAAACCCTGTTTCTGTGCTGTTTTTCTTAAGAAACTTTTGTAGAGGAAACGTGTTGTACAGAATACTAGATTTCAGTGTAAAAAGTTACTGAGTTTTGAGAGATGAACTTGGAGGTTTACACACTCAAGAAAAGGGCCTTGCAAACAGAACATGCATGTGTATAAAATCTTGTTCATGGAAACAATTGGCAATTTAAGTGCGCGTAATAGAAAGAAAATGAGATTTCCTCTAAATATTTTATTATTTATTCAAATATGTCTGTATGGGCAGTTAGAGAAAAGGGAAAGATAATAATAAATTACAATCAAGAATGAAATCATTCTTTTACAGCATTTAAGGTTTACTGTGATGTACAGACAGAAAGAAGTTTCACTTCTGAAGCACCCAAATGCCTATTGTTAGACCCTAAAAAATACAATATTTAGTAGTTTATACAGCTGGGAATAAATAGAAAAACAGTTGGTAGTTAGTAAAACCCCTAAACATGTATCCACTTAAATGACAACCAGTTTAAAATTCTGTTCTACCAATCTATTAGCTACCCTGGTAAGTCATATGATATTTGTTTTCCTTAAAACAGCTTGAACAAATGTGATAATCAGTTTTTATGCCAGCACAGCTTTTCTTTATTCAGTTAAAAACATGTATTTCAAGTGCATTAAATCTTTTAACGACATGATAAAACTTTTTATATATGTGAAAGAAGAGATGAGGATTCGAACTAGAGGAAAATAAGGTGTCACTTTTTCAAACATCGTTTCTTGCAATTGTGAAATGCACCTGTAAGAAATTCAGTGGTAGTGCTAGTGAAGTTGAAGTAACTATAAATGTAAAAACTTTTTCTGCACTATCAACATTTTAATTTTCTTTTGTGAATGCTGGGAGGAAACAAAAGCAGAACTGATACTTTTACTGCAAGTATTACCTAAGCTGGGGAAAACAAAATGAAAAGAGTGGCTTGGAACTGCTCATTACAAGAATATGGTCCATTAATAATGTTTAGTCCTGTGTTCTCTCAGTGCATAGCTATTAAAATATTTATTGGATCAATTTCTGTCTCTGTAATGTATTCTCATTTTAGAAGGCAAGGCACTCTTACTAGGTAGAATCCAATTTTCATCTTGCATAGGTAACTAGAAAATCTTGTTATAGCTTCCTTATCAGACAATCATGAGTTTTAGGATCTTTGGAACTACTTTTGTGATTGTAGTGCTAGAGTCAGGGGAAGGTCAAGGGGAAAAGAAAATGTCTACACTAGCAAATGAAAGTTTACTATTAACGTGGAATATGACTGTCAGTTAAAAAGGGGTAGACAGCCCCACTGCTAATCAGAAACTTGTGTTAATTTCCTTTCAGAGAAGATAGAGCTATGATGAATCAGTGAATTCTAAGAATATTCATATTCATGAATGACATCAATAGGATTGATATTTTCATTAAAAAATAAAACAATTAGAGCATTAGCTTGAAATCTGAATTGCTATTGAAATGGTAACATTTGCAGAGATATTTGGAGAGCGTCTTGTTCTTTGTGTGTTTGTCATAGTGTGTATATTTATCAAAAGTCACTGAAAAACTGTAAAACAAAGTACAATCTAAAATTTGTTAATACTTGATGTAGATAGTTCTGGGGCTTGGCACTGAAGAGAATATAAAAACTAGAACATAGGAGGTTCCATATGAATAGGAGAAAGAGGTTCTTTATCTTGAGGGTTACAGAGAACTGGAATGGGCTGCCCAGATTGACTATTGAGTCTCCTCTGGAGATCGTCTGAAGCCCACTGGATGCTTTCCTCTGTAACCTACTGTAAGGAACCTGCTTTAATAGAGTGGGCTGGGCTGGATGATCTCCAGAAGAGGTGCCTCCTAACCCCTACAATTCTGTGATATACACAATAGTATGTGGACTGTAACAACAAAGATAATGATGTCATGACTGACTTGAGTTTTAATTTTATAGAATCACAGGATGGTTTGGGTTGCACCTTAGTGACCTTTAAAGGTAGTCTAGCCTAACGACATTGCCATGGGGCAGGACATCTTTTACTAGACTAGAATGCCCAAAGCCCCATCCAGCCTGGAACTGAGTATGCAACATCTACAGCTGCTTTCTGCGATTTGCTCCAGTGGTTCACCATCACAGCAAATAATTTCTTCCATGTATCTAATCTAAGTCTACTCTTTTTAGTTTAAAGCTATAACCCTGATCCTGTCACCATACTTCTTGCTAAAGTGTTCATCCTCATCTCTCCTGTAGTCCCCCTTCAGGTACTGAAAGTCTGCAATGAGGTCTCCCTGAGACCTTCTCTCCTGCAGGCTGAACAACCCCAGCTCTGTCAGCCTGTCTTCACCGGAGAGGTTCTCCAGCCATGTGATCATCTTCATGGCTTTCCCCTGGTCCAGGTCCTACACTGAGAAACCCATGCCTTTCTTATGTTGAGGGTCTCAGAGTTGAATACCATACTCCAGGTAGAGTCTCATGAGAACAGAGTAGAAGGGGAGAATATATCGGTTATTTTAGTTCTGTCTGGTCACTCTGTATTCTGCTTTCACCCTTCCTTGTGCATGTTTCCTAGCTTTCTGTCTGATACTCAATGAGGGGAAATGGTGGAATATGATAGGTAAAGGAAAATTTGGGCAGATTCAAGAGTGAGCTAATTAGAATTTTTCTTTGGTCAACTTCTGGGCAAAAATTTCAACCAAAGACAGCATTCCTTTGTCAAAAATGAAGTGTTTTCAGAATTGTATCTGGACTCATTAACATCTTACATGCAAAGAATTATGGATGTTTTACTGAAGATTTTTTGTTTTATTCTATTACAATGCATACAACTTTCTGAAAATGAGGAAGACCTAATTTGTATGGGAAGCGTTTTTGCTCATATTATTTGAAGAGTCGAGACAAGGTATTGAAATAATAACTGGAATTTCAAAAACATACATAAAATAGCCAAATTGAACTTATTTGCAAAGTGTTTTTAAAGTTTGCTTTTTGCAAAAAATTACACTTCAGAAAATGGAGAAAAGAAGGTTATAGGAGTGGAAAGCAGTGTTGCCAGGTAGTATATATGCCCATTAGGACAATTTATTTAATGCAAACTTCAGCTATTACTTTTAACTGAGTTGCTGTTAAACTTAATTAACACAAGCTTTTATGTGTATTGATACACCTACAAATCTGAACTGTTAATGCCAACAACTTGGTTTTTATATACCTCTGATTTGGTGACCTGAGTAAAATGAAGTGGTGCCCTGCAAAATCTCTTCGTTTAGAAATGTCTGTGGATTAAAATTTGTCATGAGTTGTAATTCAGGGGAATTTTACTGAAATGCTGAAGATTGATTAGATATATACTAGAAAAGATGTGTTCCTGTTCTAAGATCAGATGTCTGAAGTATCAGAAAAAATAAATCAGTCATGATGAATTTAGAAACTTCAGTAATGTTTGCTTATCTATACACTTTATTTTTGTGTGCAGTCTTGTTAGACATTTTTTTTTCCCTGGGGTTTTTAATCTAGCATCCCTCACTAATAATAAATTTGCTTAAAAGTTGTCCTACATAGTTGGCTATCTTGTATTTCTTTTTATTACTTATCCTTGTTACTGCATATCAATGCAAACTGATCATTGTTAGTTGAAAGATATAGAAATGATAGATAGTAGATATGAAATCTGCAAGTGAATTTAAATAGGAAAAATCCAACTATCAGGGATACAAATGGTGCTGTTATTTACTCATATGTGAATGCTAGCCAATTCAGTTTTTCTTTTTTAATAGAAGCATCTTTCAAAACTCTTGAGATGCTGAAGCAATCTCAGAAGTATTTGTGGTAATCTCTGAGAATTTACAAAGCTTCTGTGAGGTGCCTGGAAAATTTAGTACCCTTTTTATAAAAGTAGGGTGTTGGTGGTCTAGGGAATTCTGACAGTCAACCTAGCTCGTATTCAAAGGGAAATACTAAGCAAATGATGAATCTGTCAATTATTTCCAAACAGCCAGGCAACAACAAATGATATGTATTTATAGAAGAAGTGCCTTATATCTTTTTTTGCCATGATAGCTGCTGTGAAAAAGAAACAAACTAAAAATTTGATTCATCCTAACTTTCACGGACTTTTGGTAATGCTTTAAATTCTGTTACTGAAGCCACACAAGAATGATGACCTAGATGAACAGCTGCCAAACATACAGCTGTATGGATCTGTTTTCGACACTCAGTATCTCAGGCCACCATTTGTCTTATGTTACTCAGAGGGTAATAACCTTCTCTGCACCATTTGCTGATTGCTCTTCATGTCCTTATGAAGCATATGTGGAAAGCCAGAATGGTCTATTTTAAGTAATTTAAGGTCATTATATAGGAGATGGGGAAATATATTTCATATGAAACTGCCAAGGTGTTGAACTTATGCAGTATGTCATAGATTTTTCCACAACTGTCTATTGTTTGCCAGGTGTTATTCAAAATATTCTTTCTTCATTCCTTTCAGTATTTCAGAGACGAAAAAGATAAGTACAGAAGCATTCTTAATGAATTTTCTGCAGGTACCATGGACCCCGGACATTTTATAGGTTGAGTTTTACTATGTAGGGTTAGGATTACTATTTTAGATTTGATCTTGCTGTTTTGTAGAGTGGTAATAATGTTACTGTATTGACTGAATTCAGCAGATTGGTACAATTCTTGTCAGTGGCTGGAAACAGAGCAAACTCCCTGGGGAAGTGGATATGGCATCAAACCATCTGTAGTTCAAGAAGCATTTGAGCAACACTCTCAGTAATATAATTTGAATTTTGGGTGATCCTTTGTAGAGTCAGGGATTTGACTCAGTGATCCTTGTCTTCCAACTCGGGATATTCTATGATCTGTACTTAAAGAGAAGCTATCAGTTGTGCCCAAATAAGATAGGCACATATAATAATAATATGCCTGGCCAGGCAAT